AACATTGGTGAGCTCGTATTCGTCCTTGTCTTAAGACTGCTTTAACCACTATGTTGTCACCCATTAAGAGTTGGAGGTGACGTTAAAACTAAGACGTTGAGTTCTCACCTGATGTTTCTCCTTGAAAAGGCCTTTCGATTCTAGCCAACCCAGTGAAATCAAAAGTCAGAAGTTAGGAGGTCCGAAGATATATTTGGTAGGTTATCAAAATGTCGAGAAGTGACTGATCCAAACTGGCTAAAGGTTGTAAGGGGAGTTGAGCACAGCGTTCCCATTCATGATCTGGTGCGGAAGCATGATCAAGCACCGTCATCCAGGTAAGTCCATTAAAACTAATGTGGTGAACATCAAATGTCGCAGTCTTACAAACCTGTTGATTTTGGGGATTCATTTACCGCTACAGATCATTCCCCCACTATTGGGGCAGTAATGACCCCACGATGTGGCCGGACGAATGTTCAAACCCGACCAGTTTGTCTTTGGTAGACACTGTTCTGATAGCATGCTATGTTCAGCAGCGCCTGGTCTTCTTCCCCTATTATGACGGGCCATGTGGTACAATGTATTAATGAAGAAGTATCACAATGGAAATTTTGATATATAGTACACTTAGTCGGGTTTTTCATCTTTTCCAGCCGTCCAGAAAAAGAGAAAAAGAATTTATAAGCGAATGTTGAATGATGCTTGTACGTGCGAAAAGACACAAAACTAGCATAAGAGGTAAATAAACTTATATACATGCAATTCGTAAACATTTAATAGCGTAAAAACTATTTTTGAAGAATGATTTTTTGGGATCTTTTGAAAAAATGCACATATAAGCAAGCATATTATCAAAAAATGTGTTCGTTTTGGTATAAAAACAATAAATATCTATGGGCATATCAAAAATAGTTTTTTGACACAATAATACAAAAAATCGGGACGAAATAGTGTTATGTAGTGTCTTACACAATGTAATAGTTTAGGTATTCTGAAAACCTTAGTCTTCTTCTAGAACCCATTGTTTTGAGTCACTTGTCAGATATCACCAAAGTGCCATAGTGATTTTCGATTATCGTGTGAGGTATGGTATTTGTGAGACTCATGTCTTCCAATGATACCGAAGAGGAATCGACATGAACAGAGTTTCCTTCTAAATACATGGGTTTGAGGCGATATATTTTGTTGTTATCGTTAGTTCTGAATATGCCACAGGTATTCGGGGTTTGACAACGCTTTAACCAGCAACACCTTCTAATTTGAAACGTACCCACCAGGCAAAATCAAAAGACAGAAGCGAGGAAATCGAAGATATATTTGATAAGCTATCAATATATCGAGGATCGTTTGAACTAATCTGGCTAGCGATTGCGGCAGATGTTGAGCACGGCGTTCCCACACGTGATCTGGTGTGGATGCTTGACCGAGCGCCTTCAGCTAGATGAGTCCACTAAAACTGCGGTCAGCATCCAATGTCGAAAAATTTCAGAGCTATTTGATTTCGGGGAATTATTTACCGCTACAGTTCTATCATTGCCGGTGATATAATGCATAGCTTCACTCTAAAGAACTTTGAAGGGTCTTTCTTGTGCTGTTTCGAGAGGTCAACTTGTGTACTATATGGTAAGGCAGGTTGAAGGAAAACAACATTTAACTGCGGTTGTGTGGGAACTCAACGCATTGTGTTTGTAAGCCTACTCATGTAGAAGTTAAGATTTATACTCATTGAAGATGGGGGATCCACAAAGTCTCCTAGAAGTTGAAGTGTTGTTCCATAAACGATTTGAGCTGCAATGCATCCATTGTCAGCTTTCACCGAATTGCGAATAACAAGTTAATCGATTGGAAGAGCCTCGATCCACTTTGAAACGATTGCAGCTGAGAGTGAAGCTTGAAGCTGTCATTGAAAGCGTTCTACCAACCCGTTTGTTTGTGGATGGTAGGCAGCCGTTTGGAATCGCTTTCTTCCTAAGGGTGTAGTCAGGCAACAGAAAAGTCCATATTTAAACAGGCATCTACGGTTCGCAGTGATAGTTGAAGGGCAGCTGAAGTTTACTGCCCATCGTTCTACGAAGGCGTGGGCCACTACTTCAGCAGTAATGTCTTTGATGGTTATTGCTTCTGGCCGTCTAGTGAAACGGTCTACACAAGTTAAGAGAAAGTATCTATTTGAATCTAATAAGGGTCCTACGAAATCCAGATGAACATGGTCGAAACGAACATCGGGAGTTTTAAATGAAACTAAGGGACATTTTTTGTGTCTAAGCACCTCATATTTCTGGCAACCCACACAGGAACGTGTCAACTCTCACACGTTGCATCGATAATGTTTCGGCACGATCGGACGATCCCTACCTGAAAATGTGTCACATAATAAAGTTTCCTTACCTGTTTCCATCTGTTTAATGCGCAGTTTAAGGGTTGTTCAAGATAACTCGTGCTAAAGATCACTGTCTTCTTTTTGAATTTGGGCGAGTTTTATAAGGTCGATTCCTTGGGAACTGTTCAAGGAATTTATACGAGACAAGGCGTCTGCAACTACATTGTTTGCTCCAGAAATGTGTCGAATGTCTGAAGAAACTGCGAAATGTAGTCCAGTTGTCGAGACTCACGTGGTGGGTACTTATCTGAAGATGAGCTTAGAGAGAAGATAAAAGGTTTATGATAACTGAAAAGTGAATTGTTAAATTTCAATAGGGTGTTGAAAATGCCAGATAGCAACACGTCAATACTTTTCCTCACATGTTAAGTTTATCGAAAGTTTACACGCGATTGCGCTTTCCATATATTATATCCGGCTCAGTGGTCGAGTAGGTTAAGCGTTAGCTCGCGAGACTGAAGGCCCTGGGTTCGAATCCCGCGAGCGGGATCGTGTATTCACACTGCTGAGGAGTCCCACAATAAGACGAAACGGTCGTCCAGTGCTTCCAGGTTTTCAATGCTGGTCTAGCATCAATCGGTTCATGATCTCAATCAAAAACTTGACAATCTCCACAACACCTAAATTGATATTATATCCATACTTTCTGACGTTTCAGAATAAAGTGTGCCCCAAAGTCAACTACGTGAAGCAGAAACAATCAACCAACCACCACAAAATAATCTTTAGTGAAACAAAGACAAGACGGTTAATTAAAAGACTGAAAAGCACTAAAGAGTTAATTATAATGCAAAATTTCTCAACAATATGGTAATAATAATTGCGATCCCACCAGGAGAAGGGAAGAAATAAGTAACAAACAGGCATCAACGAGAGAAAACGTACATCCAATAAAACTAAAAGGGACTAATCATAAGAAAAAACACACATATGGAGGGATCTTCTCCATATTCTGACACGAACGTACCAAAATGGATTTTGCAGCGATTTCTTTGTGTTCTATTCATTGTTATATTTCTATCCTAGTGATTCTGTAATATATGCTACTTATGTCTGTCGATATAAGTAGTATATAGCACTAATCAGAAGTGGAATGCCTAGCAGCAGAAGGTTGAGAAAATCGAATAGAATGGAACAGGAATGTAAACAGAGAGTCATTTATAACAACAAAAACGATTGAAGTTTTAAGAGACCACTGATGGAAGATATGCAAATGAAGTATTTGATGTATGGCTTCCATATTTTACAACCAAACTCTGTAATTTTATATTAAACAATAAATTAGTTTCTCCCAATCTGAGTACTAGTTCACTACAATTGTACTGTCATTGTCAAAATATTACGTTTAATTCAGTTCGATTTCATTCACTTAATGAAATTACAATTTGATCCTATTATCTACTGTCGTATACGTCAGTTAGTTAATTTAATCGCTTAAATATAAATTCAGTAGCAATAGTGTGACGACGGACCACGGATGAACTCGAGGAAGCTGTGAGAGGCCCAGAAGGAGCCGAAGATATTCCATCCAATCACCTTTGGGAAGAATATTCGAGAATTCCTACGTGTAGCTTCCCTATTGGACAAGGCTAATAACCCCCTGTATGCGGATTGGAGGACTATAATGATGATTTTTGTTCTTACTAAAAACTATAAATACCTGACAATTTGTACCATAATTGACACTGTTTGGAATAATATTCCTTTCACTAGTCTTCCGTCTTCCCCTTGCAACTTGAAAAGTTTTGGCGTTCTTGTGTTCAGTTATACGCGGTATATCAAGTAATCAACCCTCTAGGTATAACAAATAGTATCATAGTTCTCACATGATTCAATTGTTCTCGGTTATAAAGTATAAAGATAAAGAATATAGCGAATTTTTTGAGGTTTATATGGACCTAGGATTTACATAGCACTGCAGCTAACATAAGGTCGATAATATCTTGACTTACAAAACTGAATGATAAGACTCGTAGCTTGATGAATTTATACCCCACAGTAATAAGAGAAATTGTTTGGTGAAAATGACAACCATACTTTATGAAAGTACTGCAATTATTTATTACGCAAGTTACTCAACACCCAATGGCCGGATACCATCAGCAGCAGCCTTCTATAGAAGAGAATAAACCAGCTTCCAACTGAAGAGGAAATTAGGAAAAGACATTGAAAGTGGATAAGAGATGCATTACACAAATCACTAAACTGCATCATGATGTAAGCTTTAACTTAGAATCCTGAAGAGGAGCGGAACATAGGAAAACGAAAGAACATATTACATCGGGAAATAGTAGCAGATATGAAAATGATAAACAACAACTGGAAAGGATTGCCCAGGACATGGTTGGATGGAGAGTGCTAATGAGAAGCCTATGCTCCTTCACGAGGAGTGACAGGTGTAAGTAAGTACTCAATGCTCAATATATTCAAAATTATGAAGTCAAATTTTAATAATGATACTTAATTTAATTTGATTCATAGTATAAAATAAATTCATAATACTGATATTCGCTTATTATCTTAATGAACATTCAATAATATGCAAAGAATGATTTAATATTAAACTTATATTTTATTGTTCATAATCTGATAATGAATAATAATAAGATAGGGATTTGTTTATTCTTTTTTTTTCTAGACAAAAACAAAGAAACAAATAATCGATTGTTTACAAATCACTATAACAATAATCATCTTTATTGTTCTAGTTATATTCAACTGAAAGTTTTACTATTGTAAACATATTGATCATTGATTTCAACTTAAATATGTAACATAGAAGAAAAGAAAAATAATATTGATCTTTAAAAAAAAGTACAATTCACAACGAAAGAACAACAAAAGAAATCATATTAGTTTAGTAATAAGTTTAAGTGTTAAAATGATATTACATAAAAGAAAAATAAAAGAAAGAAAACAAAAACAACGAAAAGAAATGAGTGAATGAATTTAAACATTTTCTGTATAATTAAAACATTGAACAATGAAATAAATTAAATCGGAAGAATTTTATGAAAAATAAAAAAAAAAGAAGAGAAAATTCGTTATTCATATTACTGTGCAAAGATGAATACAGAAATAAGTAAGTATAAAGAAACAAAGTAGAATAATTAAACAAAACAAAAATTAGGTGAATCAAAGTTAAGCTAATTAGAATTAAAATTAAATGTTGATAATAACAACAACAGAAAACAAAGGCACACACATATACGCACAAATATATATATATATATATATATATATATATATATATATATATATATTGAATCATTGAAACGCGGGAAATTATTATTATTATTTAAATTTCTAAATTAAATTATTGTTGGAAAATTTCAATTTTACACATTATGTGATTAAGGTAAAACATACATGCATACATGAAGTTAAATCATATCTCATATGAATAATATAAAATAGTTAATGAGATAGATAGATAGATAGATGAATGTTTCTTATAATCCAACTATTAAAATACAACTAATAATAATAATTATTAATATTATAACGGTAGGATGGTTTTTGTTTTTCTTGTTTCTTTTTTTATAGAAAAAAAAGAAAAAAGGAAAGAAAGAAAGAAAAAAGTTTTGCGGATTGAATAATTAAAATCTTGTTTATTTTTTTCTTCTTTTTTCTTTAATTTCTTTTCATTCTTTTTTTTAATAAAAAATTTATACAATACAATACATAATTTTTTTCTTTAAAAAAAAGTTGTAATGAAGAGATATTATTAATGAATGATTATGTGAATGAATTGTGAAAAATAAATAAATCTGTATGATTATTTGATCTGTTGAAATGTATTCAATATAAGAATGGATAATGATAACAGATTTAGTGATAATAATAATAATAGTAATAGTAGTAGTAATAGTAGTAGTAGTAATAGTAGTAGTAGTAATGGTAGTAGTAGTAGTAGTAATATTTCCGATGATTTAGACGAGAGTAGAAGGATCAATTCATGAGATTATATGTATATATGTATTCAGGGACTATTTCATTGAAATGCACTAATATCATTGAATATGGAAGACAATTTATGATTCAATCAATGAAAAAAGTCAATATTTCTTTTAATTCATGAATCATTTGAAGAATCTAGATTGTTGATAAATTATATATAATGAATAGAGAAATAAATAAAATCTATTTACATAGCTTTGTTAATTAGATTGCTTAAATAAAGAAAAAAACTAGGCAACATCTTTAATAATGTTTATTATTATTATTATTTATTAGTTGAATGAATAAGTCAATTAAAGCTAGAGTACCATGGAAAAACCTGGAAGCACTTAACGGTCGTCTCATCCCAGTATGGGACTCGTCAGCAGTGCGCATCCACGATTTCGCTCACGGGATTCGAACTCAGGAGCTATAGGTTTCATGGGTGAACGCCTAACTTTCAGATCATTGAATTCACATCCAGTGCAGTTAATATTTAATTTCAACGAATTATTATTATACTCTGACTCGCAACATTCCTAGTTATATTACTTAGAAAGTAAACAATTAATATAAGGTTATCGCATTATGTTGATTTTAATATTTTGACTGAAATTAGATTCACATTCCGTCTGTTTTATACTAACTTGTATCAGAATGGCTATATCACGGTAATCGACATAGAATGCATATATGCTGACCAAGATTGATTGAATTCCAGTCAAAATATTAACAATCAGATTATACAAACCATTTCAAATTAAATTAAAATTTATACGTCTTGCAAAATTGAATGGTTGTTTGGACAGTGATAGTGCTTAAAATGACTATCACTGGGTTCAATACACAGGATGAATATCAACTCCGAGATGCAGGTACATCCGACTGAGGCATTTCAAATGGAAAGCAATGTGTGTCCTGGATTTCATTGCCAGCGACATTCCATCTATTCTATACTAGAAACTATGAAGGTTCAAGAGTTCACAATTATCCAGTAAGAAAATCACCCTTCAATGTCTGTTTAGAAAAAAATAACTTTAGTTAGAATTACCTATAAAATTTATAGTGTACATTAAGTGTAATGTATCCAACACATTCGGTTCATGTGTTATTTCTTTAGTAAATGAGGCTATGTGTTAAGGCGTTATATTCATTAAAAATTCAACTTCAAATTTCCAACTATCTGATGTTAACATCTCAATAAAAAGTAGCCTGATAAACTAGTCAAAGATAAGATTCGATTAAGAAATTATATCTTAATAAAGATTAATCTTCTATTTGATTAACTAAGAAAATATCTAGAAAAGTTACATACAATCCATTTATGGAATATTGTAAATGTTACAAATAGCCACATTAACAATTTCTAGATACAACTACATTTATTTATACTATTTATCATATCTATAGATAACCTTGACAAAACGTCTTTCTCGTGCTTTCAAATATCCAAAGGTGGTCTAACATTGATTTTTTCAGGATATCAATAAGATAAATAGTTGACATTTAAAGATTGTGAGTTGATTTTATCAAATAAAGTGACACGAATCCATATTTATCCGTACAGTTATATAATTTCTGACACTAATTATCGTTACTTGAATAGCTCGATCGTTAGTATACAAGAATAATTAATTATAGCTTAAACGATAGATTTGCTTTTTACCTAATTACTACTTATAAACAGTAATTAAGTAATCACATGTAAACGTGTAAAAAATACACATTAAGATTGTACAGAGTGAAATGTTTTTATCAACTTGAAAGATCTACAATGTTTATTTTATACAAACTTTAATACTTTTGCAAGAAATTTTAATTTATTAATCAAACTAACTCATTATGCGCTTCATTCGAACCATTATTGATGTTTCTAAATGTGATGTTACTCACAAATAAAGTCAATATTGTAAAGCCATTTAGTGTTTATTTACAAAAAGAGTGTATCGCAGAGATAATAGAATTTCATGTTTCAAAATGTGAATTGATCTTAGCTAGACCACCGATGAAAGCCAAGAAGAACTTGACAGCTTTCTATCCTTGTACAGGATCCTCCGTTGGTACGTAGCTATGACCTCAGGACAGGAAGGTGACCCTAGGACTCACGCCAACCACTAATCACCAGACCAGTGAGCCGGAAATCAATGGTGTTAATGCCTGGCTTCAATAAATTCACAATATTACGTGACCATCTTCCTTTGTCTCTAGCAGTTAACTCTCTCATACTCGACATGGCTGAACTTCACTGGTCACAGCTTCCCACTATTTATTCCCAGTATTTATTTGTCAAAAGCTGAAATATACTTCCGATATTTAATTTATCTAGAATAATCACAATGTTCCCGTTGATTAACTTTTCACGTGACTTTTTAATGTGTCATAGTATCGGAAATAAATAGACTGTTATTCATAAAGGTCAATTATATTCGAATTACCCGCTATAGACTAACATACATCAAGCAGTTTTTATTTAATTTACTTACATTTCAAGGCTGTACATTGATGAATTCATATGGTGTCAAACTCAGTCCATTTGAAAACCTGGAAGCTTTGGATGGCCGTTTCGTCCTTGTATCATCATGTACTCACTAATGAATAACTTCATGATGGATTTCCTGCAGTTCTAGTGAGGAGCTGTGAGTTCAATCGTGTCTGCTCTCAGGCAGTTTCTCACTGAAGACAATGGTAAACGGTCACACAATATCGTGGGTTGGTTGGAGTTATACATTAACACTGTTCGATGCTGGCTCAGCGGTCCAAGGATTAAGTGTTCGCGTGTGGGACTGAAGGTCCTGGATTTGAGTCTCACGTGTGGGATCGTGTATGTGTACTACTGAGGAGTTCCATATTTGGACAAAACGGCCATCCAGTGTTTACACGTTTTCAGTCATGGTCTAGCTTAAATCGACACATGAATTCAATCATTAAAATTACTAAAATCTCTACAAACCCCCGTTCTGATAAAGTAGATATTATATAAAATTAGCCACGATTATATAAAATATAGTGATTATTTTTAATAGATAAATGTTGAGCTAAATATCTCGGTAGTAATGTGTTTCTAGATTATGAAACTGTTTACAATCAAAGTTGTTTACTCTTACCAGGCAAATCATTATCAATAAAAGTATATTGATCTAAATTCGTAGGATTCACAGGGGATACATTATCTGAAGTCTCTACAGTTTGATGCAAAGCCAATAATCGTCCAATAGGTTTACGACGTCCAATTATTAAACTTGATAAGGCTGTATTTGTATTAGAATCAGTAGATGATGTATTTGAAGCATTTTGTTTATCAGATGAGTGAAACAACTTTGATGTTGTAATTGATGAAGCGATTGTAGATGGAGAAATCGAATGTTGACCACTTGAAGAATATAATTTTTTGATCCCACGTACAATAGATGATGACGATGAAGGTGGAGCTTCATTTACATTAATACTATTACTAGCAGAAGTAATAACATTGGCAGTAGTAGTAGTAGTAGTAGTACTGGTAGTATTGACTATTCCAGTAGTTGGTGGGTTAGGTATTTGAGATGTTGTAGTGATAGTTGGTTCATTAACTGGTTTAACTAAATCTTGAAGTCTCATACTAGATTTTATATTAGTTGATTTTTCATATATTACAGGATTATGTCTTTTATGTATTTTATCATGTTTATCAGCTCCATGTAATGAAGAAATTGTAATATCAGAACTGGTGTTAGGAGAAGTTTCTTCGATAGTTGAATTGTCTTTACTAAATCCTTGATTCTGTCTATATGGTGTATACAATGG